GGGGAGGGCGAGGACTTGCCCATTTGTCTGGATCCGGCAGCAGAAACCAAGCCACGTTGCTCCGCACCTGCTTAACCGAAAACGTTAGGCTGCTCTCGCCGGGCCCTTTTGAGCCCTGTGAACAGGCAAACTGTGACGTGAGGCCGATGGGCCATCGCCGTCTGCGTAGGACAGGACCCTGATCTCGAGCGAAGGAATATCTGGATCGAGCGCGTTCATCCCGCCCCGGAGACCAGACAGAGCATGTCATATTTGGAACCTGCTTGAGTCGGATGTAACGTCAAGCAGCATCTTGCATTAGCCAACAAAAATACCATGGTCAAAATTTCCTGGCTACTTCCTGTTGCTGAAGTTGTATTGTCCATCTCGGGGAAGGGATTTCAGTTTCCAGAAGCCTGTTTTGATCAGGTAAGTTTAATTTAAATGGACTTTGTCATAGTCTGGTAGCTTGCCTGGTGGTGGCAATGCTCTTGTGGATTTTCCCTTTTCGCCCAGACATTTTTTTTTGAGGACTGTCTTAACTTCTACGTTGAGTTTTATTGCCCTGGATGGAGTGGCTGGGATTTTGTGATGAGTTAAAAAAAATCCATCAGAGCTTGTTTGCAAATAATTTTGTGATCAGCTAAAAAAAATCCATCAGAGCTTGTTTGCAAATAATTCCCAGGACTCTGGAGATGAAGAGGATTCTCCTTTATTATTGATACTGAGTCATTTTACAGGCTGATATTAGTCTAGGAGCTGGCATTTCCTTCTTTCACAATGGATGCGCTTTCAAGCAGACACAAGTCAGGAAAAGGGATTGTCAAATTACACGGTTCGTTTTAGGTTTTTTATATTCCTCGCAGGGACTCCAGGGATAACGATCTTTTCCGTCTGTTGGTGCCACAAACTCTTTGCAGTCTGAAAATCTACCTGTGTTCTCCTGGCTTGTGGGGGATAGCAGGCGTATGATTTGACTATTCTAGAAATGATGGGAAAGACTGCGTTTGATCCCGTTCATCTCCCATAGCCATGTTGGCTCTGTTGGCTTAATGGGAGAAGAATGCCGCTTTTCTAAGTCAGGCAAGCAACTTTGGCTTGATACCCTTTGGTGCAGGTGTGATGTTTAGATCTGGACTGGGCAGCACCCTTGACACTATCGTAGCCCATTTGGCAGCCAGAAAGGGGGATTACAGGCTCCAACCTCTCTTCCTTCCTGACACCAGTTGTCCCCGAAGAAGCTCCTATTTGTAGTTGCCTTGTAACATGGTAAATGCATTAATAACTTAGTGAGCTCTCGGGGGTGCTCCCTCTGCTGCAATGGCAGATGGGGCATGGCACAAAGAAAATGCAGTGTACTGTATGGAGGGTGTGAGCCTGTTAATTTGTGGGCTAATGAGCTTCCACTTGCCCAGATGTCATTGTTCACTGTTGGCCATATGTCCATGGTCCTTGGGTCAGACGAGAAAGCTTTAAACTTGCAGCGAGGGCTATGCTGGCAGCGGGGGACAACACACTGATGTCCAATGTGCTGCCTTAGCAGCCATGCAGTAGGTGTCATGCCCAGGCACTCGGCCAAACCTCCCATCTTAAGCAGTGCTTGCCAGAGGGGGCTACACAGATCCCTTGAGCACGGCGTTTTGGGCTGGGTTGTATGCTCAGGACAGGCAGTAGCAGGAAGAGGAAGGAGCTGTTTGCCCTCTTCCTACTTTCAGGCAAATAGGAATTTGGCTCTTGTAGGTTGAGGGAGCAGCTACAGTAAACAATTACTGCGTTACCTGCTGAGACGTGCGCAGGCTTAAACTCCGGCCCTGCGCTGTGGCCCGCTCCATTAATGAGGAGCTGGGTGGAGCCCGAAGAGCTTCATGCCTCATGCACGGAGTAAGGTTATATTTCGTTCTTAAAGTTCATCTGCTAACTGGGAGAGCAGCTGAGGTGCTCTCAGGCCATTGCTTTCACTGTTGGAATTGCCATTTCTTTTATATCCCCACACACCCACACAACTGCACGCTGAAACACTGCTGATGGAGACAAGAAGCCTTCTGTCTTTCGCTGGAGAGACTTTTGTTTGGAAGGATCCACCAGTTGCATAAATGCTGCCCTGTTTATCGAAGATTTCCTCTGTATTTTTGCAGCGCTACTGAACAGATCATGGAGTGTTAAAAGCACCAAGCAGTCTGAGAGATGCTTTCAGCGGGTCATGAAACCTGGTCGGGCCTGTTGTGTTGCAGCTGATCACAGTTTCAGGAGTGTGGTTTCAGCTGAGAACCCCTGCTCTGCAACCTGTGTGTAGAGAAAGAAGAGCGAGCCAGGATCCAAATTAGATCCGATTTGAAAATAGGAAACGCTGTGCACTCTGGTCCTCTCTTGGTGTCTGAGCAGGGTTTGTTTGAACCCTGGATTAGCCAGGATAAATGGCACGGTATCTGTGACTCTGCATGTGGTGTGTGCTGGAAGGGATGGCCACTGGAGCTGCCTAAGGAGCACGCCCTAGGGAGACTGTCACATACCTTCAGTGTAGTGGCTGTGGTTATTTTATTTTTAAAAAGCCGTGTTAAGGTGTATACTACCAAGCAGCCTCAAAAGCATGAAACTGAAGGCTTTCCAATGGCTCCATTGTAGTATGTTGCCTCTAGGGAAGCGGGTCAGGGTGCAATATGAATACCAGTACAAGAAAAGTTTAATCTGAGCAGGAGCTGGAATCTCATGAGATGAACCTAGGTGATGTGCTGACTTTTCACTGCATTGCAACCCCATGTGAGAGGGGGGATGACAGCAGAGCCTAGGTCTCCCTGTGCTGCACCTGTGCTCTTTGGCGAGCCCTTTGCAAAGAAGGAACTTGAATGGGAATTGGAGACACTAATGGGAGGAGCTGTGAGACCTTTGGGAAGGTGAAGTGGTTAGGGCAGGGGCAGGCAAAATGTGACCCGCGGGCTGGATGCAGCCCACCAGGCCATTTTATCCAGTCTGCGGGGCCCCTAAAAAATTTAGAAAATATTTATCTGCCCCTAGCTGCCTGTCATGCAGCCCTCGATGGCTTGCCAAAACTCAGTAAGTGGGCCTCCACCCAAAATAATTGCCCACCCTTGGGTTAGGAAGTTCAGTGGCTCTTGGATTTGTGAGGTCTGAATCTAGGGAGGGTCGGCTGGAACGGGAAGAAATGGGGGTAGGATTTAACTGTTCGTAGGTAGCCTTAGTCAGAGGCTGACCTTTCCATCAAGCTCATGTGCTATCACAGAATTTGGAGGCTTCTCGGTATAAATGCTGCATTGGTGTCTGGGAACTGCTGAAGGCAGCGGTATGTCCAGCATGAGCAAAGAGAGCATGAATTAGCAGCGTGGAGTATCAGCTGAACTGAAACCCATCAGCCTAGCTCTTCTAGAGGGCTGCCCCTAAGGTACAGCCCACAAAGCCAGCTGGGGGGCAGCTGTAGGACTGCATTCACAAGGCTTCACTAAAGATGTGGGCAGCTGCTTCCTCTGGCTTGATCCTTGTAGGGCTCCGAACATCGAACTGTGAATCGGCGAATTTCCTCTTGCAAAGTTGCTACAAGAAAGTTCCTGGGGGTGTAACGGCGTCAGGGGCTTGGGGTGAAAACGTTGCCTCTGTGGGGAGTAGTTTGTGTAGAAATAATCCAGAAGAGCTCTGCTAATGCTGTCACCCCGTGGGTTTTGAGAGGGTTATATCCTCTCCTAGACCAAACATGACACAAAGCAGCCCTGAAACACACCCTGTATCCAAACAAAACGGGCTGATGCACTGCCTGGCCATCGTCCCTAGGAAACTTGATGCCAATCCTGTGCCTGGCACTGATGCCAGGTCATGCCAGTCGCAGTCCTTTGTAAGGCCATGCTGGTAAAGCAGCAGGCCTCTGCAGACTGATGTCATCCTAGCTGGGAATCGAACCTTGGGAAGACAAGACAGCCTTTTAATTGCCTCCCTCTGAGTCTTGCAGTAAAATCAAGCCCTTTCCTAGTCAGAAATGAGTCACCTATTTAACCGTCCGTCACTGCAAATTCAGTTTGGGACTGTGTCCAAAGGGTAGGACTCTGGTAGCCAGGGTAAGATGTGGAAGCCCCCTGGAAAAGCTTGTTCCCAGAACTGGACAAGAGAGAGGAAACATAGTCCCCTCCCCATCTGCCTTGTGTAGAGCTACCAAAATGTTTTCAGGATACTCATGGCTGAGGGAAGATGGGAAAGAAGAGCTTCCCCAGAGGTGCTGGTGGCACTTAACAGGAGCCAGTGGGTGGTTCTCAGCGTGCTGTCTTTAAGTCTGTGTTTTTCCAGGTGGGTAAAGATACACTGTCCGTACCAGCGAGGGCCGTGGTGCTGGGGTTCTTGGTGGATCCTGCATTCTCCTAAGATTAGTACGGGAACACAAGCACTACATCGGACTGCTCAGATGCTCTTTAATTAGCGGATCACCCCAACCTGAGCGGCTGCTCAGTTTGCCGGCTTGCTGCTGCCTCCACAATGCTCTTTTTCTTTGTTTGAATTGGCCCAGAGCTGAGGAATGAATCAGAATTTCAGCCACCAGTTCAAGGCTCCGACACAAGGTGTCATTCAGTTAAAGGCGCAGGCAGCTCAGGGGTTTGATCTCTCTCAAGCAAAATAAAACCCTTTTTCCCCCCTTTTTAAGTAAACAGATAATTTTGTACCTGGGACAAGGCAGGGGGCAGCCCCTGATCATCAGCCTGTGCCCAGGCTTTCCGTGGCAGCACTGTTCTTGAAGATGGGGAAGGGGTATCCAAATAAGCTCCTCTTTTAAAATGCTCCCAAAGTTAATGGATGCCAACTGATTGCAAGCATGTGTTCATTGTCGCCTGAGGAAGCTGTATTGTTCCTGATCAGTCAGTCCAGGGGCAGATCATCAGCTAGCTGGGTGTCTGGGGTGTCAGAGCTGCTCTCAGTGGCAGCCAAAATTCTGCATTCCACCACAAAGCAACTGCTCCAGGCGGAGGTTGGGTTATGCCAAACATCTCCTCCCTCATTCACAACACAGCCTTCCCCTGTCTTTGCAGATCCGTCGGGGTTCATCTTTGACGTGCAGTCCAACACCGTGATGGCCCAGGGAGGAACCTTTGAAAACATGAAGGAGAAGGCAAGTGTGGCCATGGGCTTTTCTTTTACTTGTCACTCTCAGCTGAAGAACAGGTGAAAATGCAGCTCTCGGCCACTTGCTGAGAGCTGCGTGGAAATACGCGGTGTGTGGGAACTGACTGCCAGTTTGCATTTGATGGCGCTTCACGCCAGTCAAGCTGCGTTGTCCTGGCTTCTTAAGATCGCGTATCCAAAGAGCTGCCGGAGTTTCTGCATCCACTAGAGAGCAGCTTCTGCAGGTTGCAGCGTGATCTGCCTGGATGGAAGCTGAGCAGTCGCAGGGATGGTAAGAAATGGCTCACACGTGTCCTTTTGCTCCTGTCTTCCAGATCAGTGCTGTGCGTGCGATAGTCCCCAACCGGAGCAACAACGAGATCATCCTTGTGCTGCAGCACTTCGATAACTGTGTGGACAAAACAGTGCAGGCCTTTATGGAAGGTAACTACTTGCAGTCTTGTGCTAATCAAAAGTGGCTCTGGTGAAGATGTCTGTGAGTTTGATTCAGCAGAAGTAAGTAGGGATTTTTCTGTCTGTGCTGCATGGCTTTCAAGAAAGGGCCATAGGTTTTCTCTCTACAGCACTTGTACTTTGGAACAGGGTTTTTTTTCTTGCTTCTCAAACATCCTAGTACCATCTCCTTCTCCAGTTCCTTCCCAGAAGAGCAGACCAAAGGTGGTTCTCTCATTCTTCCCTTGCTTCTCTGACATCAACCCAATAAAAGTCAAGAAAGGGACAGTTATATGGGACCAAAATGCCTGACTCTTTCTGCATACACATGGGACTGTATATGTAGACCATGAAGCCTCTGCTCTGCACCTCTGGGGGAGCTTTTCTGCCTCCTTTGAAACATGGATTCTCGATCGCTCTTGGGAGCAGGCGGCCTGTGGCATGTGATGGGCTCTGACCTTGCAGGGCAGGTGGGAAGTCACTGATGAAAAAAGTTAGCTCAGGTCAGAGGGTCTGCAGCAAACTCCTGAGCTGAGTCCAGGTCCCAGCTGGGTCCAGCATGCCAGTCTGCAGCATGGCTATGCCAAGTAGGGGTTGGCTGTCTGGTGGCAGCCAGCATAGACCGCTGCAAGAAATGGTCGTTCTGAGTCCTGCCCAAAGCAAAAACGAAACCAGTCCTTTCATTACATCAGCTGAGAGAATTGAAACTTAGCTCATGTGGGGAGTGGCAGGAACTACTCCAGGTGGCCTGAATTGTGGAGATTCCAACACGCGGCCAGTGGAGACCAAGTGAGAGCCCAAAACATTTTCTACCGCTGATTGCTGCATTTCCTTTCAGGCAACGCCAGTGAAGTGTTGAAAGAATGGACAGTAACTGGCAAGAAAAAGGTAATGCCTGAAACGCTTGCTAGGGTATTTATCATCCTTCTGGGTTCTTTGTTTTTTCAAAGGTCCAAGGTGTGTTAGACACCAAGCCAAATCGAGAGAAGTGAGGAAGGAAACCAGATAGGCAAACATACGCTGCTGTGGGCAGGCTTGCTTCCTAGGGACAGGCTCCAGTCCACCAAGTGGTCACTGTTGAGAGGGGGTGCTGGATATGGTGGTTTCAAAGATGCTTTAGAAATCCCATCCTCCACGTATGCTGTTTAGTCAGCATAATGTGTCCCGTGCAGCCTTGTTGAATCATCCTGAAAACTTACAGCTGCGGCACAAGCTGTCCTCCCCAGCCCCTTGCCACGATGATGGAAACGCTGATCCTTGCTTAACCCTCCGCTTCCCCAGCACTGCACGGGGGAGCTGCTTGTGCAGAGCTCAGGAGCCTGGGTGCAGCTGTCCTCCGCTGCGCACGAACTCAGAGCCCTGTGCAGAGGGTTGACATGTCGGCGTGCCGTGCTGTGGCACCGAGCACACGGGGATGAGCATTAAAGTGATAGCTGTACTGAAGAGCTCTAATTGGGGCCCAGGAAGGGTATGAAAAGCCAAAGAGTACAGGATCATTTAGGGAGCATGACTGAGGGCTGGTAGTGACTGGAATAGCTTCTGGCAGAGGTTTAGCCTCTGCTGAGCAGGGGGAAGCCGCAGGTTGGGTCTCACCGTCACCCAAGAATTAACCTCTGGGAAGTGGCCAGAAGACGGTTCCAAAAGCTGCTGCCGTTTGCCTGCCCTGAAGTATCAGCTTAATCTGGTAACGGAGGCATTAGTCTCCTTGATGCGCAGTTGGAGAGGATGGTGCATTTGCCCCTCGTTAATGCCAGCAGATTAGTTCTCATTGTCGAATAAATCCATCCTGCGGTTTCTAGGATCAGCCGCCGAGACTGCCTGAAAAGCATTTAATTCAGTGACTCGGGCAGTCAAGCAGGGTCTGGAGCTTTCCTGTCAGGAGCTAAGTTTGCCCTTGCCTCTGTGACACGGGCATTTAATCCCTAGAACAAAAAGAAGAAAACCAAGCCCAAACCTCCAGCTGAATCGAGTCCTGGCCTCCCGGATCCCGGTAAATTGGCATCCACGGAAGAGGAGCAGTCGGCAAGCTCGGAGAAAGGCGGGATTAACGGTTACCACGTCAACGGTTCAGCCAATGACACGGAGTCTGTGGACTCGCTCAGCGAAGGCTTGGATACCCTTTCAATAGATGCACGAGAGTTAGAGGATTGCGAATCCGCTGCACCTCATGGGCCCAATGGAACAGGTTAGTCCTGGCACGGTGCTGCGGCAGGTGGGGCAAGGAAGGGGGTTGCAGAAGCGGTGCGGCGGCTCTGGCCCGTCTCCTCCTGCTGCCTTTCTTTGGGCCAGTTGTGAATCCTGGTTTGTTTCGACAGAAACTCTCGGAATATGTAACGCTCTCTTTGCTTCTTTGTATTATCCTAGGGAGGCTAATGTCCTGCTCGTTAACGTGATGGTGAGGGGGCAGTCGGGGCTGGAGTACTTTCAGTGCTTCCTTTTTCTGCCCCCCTGTTCATTTGTTCCCTTGAACTCCCCTGCTTTTCCACAGCAGCATCTCAGCTCCAGAATGGCCTAGCAGACCTTGAGACCAAGTCCTCCGTCATGCATTCTCCCCAGAACCCTGCGTCTCTCAGGTCACAGCCCGAGCAGAGGAACACCAGCAAGTCTCTGTTCAGGTCCACGACGAGCAACCAGTCTTCTGCTTCCTTGTCTGTAGTAGTGCTGGAAGAGGTTCCTGTTTCTCCTGCAAACAGGAAGCTAGGTAAGGCCTTGAGGACCTGTACATGCTTTAGTTTCTCAGTGGTTTGACACCATAGGGTCTTGTAGTTCACTTTTTGGTTCCTAGTAGATTGAGAAGCTTATAGGACGTTGATTGTGATGTAAACTAGCATCCTTTTTATTCTCTGGCTGGTAATCTGGAGTGCATTTCTCTTCTCTCTGCACAGCTGGAGTTTTGACAGCAGTTTAGATGTAATGCCTGAAGCAGCAAACTCATCTGTGTGATAGGAGCTACGAAGCAGCAGTCAGTTATGCTGCATACATCTAGCCTGCTCTCCAGTGCCCATCCAAAAGCCTTGAGCCTTCTTCCTCAGTCAGAGCTGTCTGAAGAGACAGCGGCTGTAGGAAATGACAACCTCTTTGCTGTTTTTCCTTCTCTGTGTCCTCTCGCTGGCATATGTGCACAAGAAGGACCTCTGAGATCTCAGTTTTAGGCATAGTCATTATCCTTCGCTTACCGAGATGAGAACATCCAGACCCTGACGGGAGGGTGGTTCACCTGCTTGCTGTATCCAGGACCATAATGAGCAGCTGCTAATTTAGCTTGGTAGGGGCTCATTGGTAGGGGGAGGAAGACAGCACAGGCACTGTCTCCGTTGGAGAGACTAACTGCTGCAGGAAGCAGCCAGAGTTTTCTTCTTTTTCTTTCAGCGGAAATGGCTGTTTGCATGGCTTTGATTAATTTTCCAAAAGATTTCTCCTCCCCCAGTAAGCCTTGAAACCTTTCACATACCTGGGCAGTCATTTCACATGATTCAGTGCTTGGATGTGCTATACCTCCAGGTGGACTGCTGTGAGATTCCTCAGCCCGTAGCGAAGGAGCAGACAGTGTATGTGACATACATTTGATTTCTTCTGTGCATGAAAAGCCACCGACATCTCTGCTTTCATGTGTGAGGGGAGATTTTTGCTAAGCCCAAAAAATCTTCCCCAAATGATCTCCTCGACAGTCCATGCCACAGCCAGTGCTTTTCCAGTAGGAAGGGGTAGCCTGGAGGTTAAAGCCAAACAGTGTTAGCCCTGAAATGATTTGGAAATCTCTATTGCCCATGTTAGCCCAGAGATTTTGCAGGCTGAGATCCCCGGCTGTTTGCAGTTTCTCTTGTCTCTTGGTAGGTTCCAATATTGAAAAATCGGTGAAGGATCTCCAGCGCTGCACCGTGTCCCTGGCCCGGTATCGGGTGGTGGTTAAAGAGGAGATGGATGCCTCCATTAAAAAAATGAAGCAGGCCTTTGCTGAGCTGCAGAGTTGGTAAGTCAAGTCATGCGAGGGGAGACCCACCCATTAGGCATTTAAATTGACAAGCTCTGAATAGGGATCTAGGCTTAATGAAAAGTTTGTGGGTTTCTTAGTTGTGTTTCTCCCTTGCCCCGATCATTGCACTTCAGAGTCTGCAAGGTCTGTTATTGTAAGGAGGGAGCACTAATTCGAGGTGCTGGAATCTGCAGCGTTTACGTGAATCTGAGTTCTCTACGTTCGCGTATCCGCTGCCCCGGGCTGTAGCCTATGGAGCGTCCATGTCGGAGCCATTGTACCGCTGTGCCCAGGAAGGCCCCTGGACGCACAGGGCTGCGTTGTGTCCATTGTAACCGTGACTGACACGGACTGTTCTGCCAAGATTTCGTCTCCCTGTCACTGGCTCCCTCTTCAGACACTGATAACCTAAGGAAATTTCCAGACCAAATACGTCACTCTAAGGCTCTAGTGCCATCGACTTGTCATTGTGAGGAAAGCCTTGAGTGGCACATGTTTCTCAAAAGAAAAATACCTGGTCAAGCTCAATAAGTTGAGGTTGAGGTTAAGCACAGTACGTGAGGGCCTGGGGAGCACTGTTAGAAGGCATAAAACGCATGTTAAAAGGTCATCTACAGTCCTAACTAGGCTGGGTCACCCCAGACCCGCCGTGCGTGGTACCATCTCTCAGTTTTCTGAGGACTTCAATGTGACAATCCTCTTAATTCACAGCACCGGACCTGTTAGCTGTCTGAGCTACATATGCTGTTGAGCCATCCCACCCAGTCGTCCCAAATGCGGACAGTGCTGGTGAAGAAACATTTAATTAGAAACTGCACCGTGCTCTACTTGCTGGGAGCAGGTAGCGTTTGACAGGCAATTAAGATCGCTCTCGTGGTAAAGGCTGAGAGGAGATAATTTGGCAGATTCGCAAATCTATGTTAAAACCTGTCTCTCTCCGCCTGGTGACAGCGTCTGGCCTTTGAGCAGGGGGAGCATTGCAGCAATGTGCAGACAGTTGTAACGTGGTTAAAATGCTGCCAGAGTACATGATCACTGTAGCCTCTAGCCTGCAAGTACTTATGCACACGCTTAACTCTGCTGCTGTGAGACGCTGCATTGATTTTAATGGAGCTGCTTGTGATGGCTGAAGTGAGCGTGTGCATACGGGATCACTGACCAGTGGCCATGATCCTGCAGAGGCAAAGCATGGGGCAGCGGAGCCACTTTTCAGGTGTGGAGGGCTCAGGAGCAGCAAAAATGTATGGGGGTCCCTGGATTTGGGTGTCTGGGGGATGCCCAGAGATGTCTGGGGGTCCCCCAGTGTCATGAGTGTTTGACTGTACCTGCTTCTCTGTGCTTCCTGCTGTCTGAGGTGTTGAAAAATATCGTGAGCATGGAATTTCCTCTCTTCAATAGTTTCATTGGATTTTTTCAGTCTGTAGCTAAGATATTTATAACCTTTGTTCACACAAATGTTCTTAATGGATTTAAATTAATATTTATTATTTATGAACCGCTTCTGTCAATGGATTTTGTATACAGGCAGTAGAAGTCATTTTAATTATTGCTGTGACCTGTTTATGGCAGTGGCTTTATTGTCTGCCTTTCTGTATAGACGGAAGCCCTGAAAACCCACTCATTAGAATGGAAAGCCGTGTCTTTTGGCGGAAGTGCCTGTTTCTGTATCATAATTCCTTGCTCTTTGCCTTACGTTATCATCCACAAAACACTGGCGTCCTGTTTGGAAAGGGTAAAGATTCAAGTCCAGTTCGGCAGCCTCGCTCCGATAAGCCTCTACGTGCTCTTGATTGCCAAGTCAGAACCAGCGTGAACCAGGAACTGCAGGTCCGTGAGGCAGGGCCCTTGAATGCATGTCTGGAAGGCAGCCAGTGGGAACCTCCTTCAATAAATGCCAAGTGAACAGCACCCTGCTGGGTGGCTGATAAGCAGTGACGCTGCTGCAGCTGGGTCAATTTAACTCCAGGAGAAAAGATTACTTGCCCTTTCCTGCAAGTGACGCAGCTGGGGAGCAAATCCTCCCTTCCCACTCCATGCTTCGAAGAACAATTGGCATCTTTTAGCTCCTGTTAGCACAGGATCTTGCAGTTAATGCCTTGCACTGACCCCGCTCTCCGGGTGGCTCCCTACAAAAAGAACTGGTTTAAACAGTCTTTTTTTTTTTCCCCAAGGCAGCAAGCTAAAGGGTGGGAACGCTTCGGGCAGTTTGGACTGCGAGGATGTGCGTGTGAGCTTATTGGCATGCAGGCTTTGAGAGAGGCGGCAGTCTCTCCAGTCAAACTTCCTCCACCTTCCAAAAAGAATCCCAAGCAGCTGGTGGTGTTGTAGGAATTGGAGCCACGCTCAGATGTCTGCTGTCAGATTGACTGACTGTTTCCTGAGCATGTGTACACGGTCCCCGCTGTGCGCTTGTTAGCACCAAACGTGAGGCACCCAGCTCTGTTTGTAGCCAGGCTTTGTGAAGCAGTAGCTGTTCTCTGATCTGGGGGCCTAGAAGCTCTCAGCTAAGCCAGTTGCCTGGACCAGCTGGGCCTGAAAAGGGTTTGAGGCATCCTTCCTCTTCAGCTGCAGTTGCTGCACTTGATCATCCTGCCGTTCAGGAGACTTCTCACTCTGCTCTGCCTAAGCGAGATGATGGCTGTGAAGTGGGCTGCACCGCTGGGTTTGAGACCGCGTCCTCACAGACTCTTCTTGTCGCCCTTCCTGTCTTGGAGTAGCAGACATCCTCGTCTCGGCTGCCTTCACAGAGCCGCAGCTGCTGCATCTGCTCCTCCGGGTGGGAGGCGGCGTTGGCAGCTGGGATGCAGAGGTAAACGTGAGGTTGAGGTGTCCCGTGTCGGATCTCTCGGCAGTCACGTGCCTTCGTGCTCTTACCGCAGACCTGCCAGGCGTGCTTTGGTGCTCTCCAATTACAGTCAATCTTGCAGAGGCCGTTGTATCCCAGTGTCAAGAAAAACTGACCCCCAAACCCTCTAGCGCATGCGTGAGCGCCGCAGCTGCCTGCTTCGTTGCGCTAATGGACAGTATCTTACCGGCACCACTGACAGGGCCAGGCTGCAGTGGAAGGCAGCGTGTCTGATGGGCAGATCCGCAATGCATGAGCTCGTCCTTGGCCATCTCCCCTGCAGTTGTGTAGGGCCCAGCTGCAGCTGTCCTTCCCCTCTGAGGTACACCTTCTCCAGGTGCGGACTCCATCTCAGCTGAGAACCTGGACTTTCCTCTCCACCCCGCCATGCAGACTTGTCTTTGAGATGGACAAACATGGATGCATTGCTGAATGGACTGACCCCAGGAGTCCGTCTGCATAGCAGGAAGCTGGGCGGTCTCGCTCAGGTCCACACCAAGTCACTTGTTGCTGCACGAACCTCGAGCAAAGCCACTTGCCCTGTGCTCCTGGTCAGCCGAGCTGTGACATCGGGTGAAAGGTCTCGGCTGAGCCTTGGGGGTGGACTCAAGTGCAAACAAAACCCGGCCTTAATTGGAGCGAGTTGTTGGAGGGCTCTTGGATTCACCTGTCAACCCATAGACACATCCAGGCAGCAAAGCCAGAAGTGGCTGATAGAAGCTGGGCATTAACATTTGTAGGGTGGGGAGTGTGTGTATCCAGACGGGACTTGAGTGGGGTGTAGCGCAGTGCAGGTCCCCTGGAGCGCTCCAAGGGCTCCCTACAAGACCAAGCTACTGCTATACTTGAGGAAAGAGGAGTTGGCATCCCAGTGTACAGCCGATGTGCTCCCCGTGAGGGACAGCACAAGGAGAGAGGTGAGCCCAGTTCTCAGCAGAACTGAAGTCCAGACCTGGAGAAGGTGCGCTTTGGAGGGGAGAGACAGCTCTAGGGTGTGCTGCTCTGTCCCCCGGCAAAGCCTGCGGGAACCGGATTTAGCGCGCTTGAAGACTGGAAGCAGGGCAAGGTGTCACTTTGTGTGTGCACTCTTAGCGCTCCCGTGTCCTCTGTATGTGCATTATGGCCATGTCTAGAGCCCTGCCCTGGACGGGGGCCCCTTGTGCCAGGCTCAGAGGCTGTCCCTGTCTCCTGGATAAATGGAAGCACAAACCCAAAGGCCTGATTGGTGCAGAACTGGTTAAATCCTGCTTCAGTCTTAGCCACGCACCTGTGGAGAGAGCAGGTCAGCAGGCCACGTTTACAGCGGGTGCAGTTGACCTCCCCTCTGTAATCGGGCTTCTTCACAAGCCCGATTAACTCCACGTGGCCCTCTCTAGTCGAGGTGCAGGGACAGGGAGCTCCCTGTCATCTGCTCCTCATGCTCAAGGACTGGCTGTCGCCTGGATTGGCTGGACTGAGCCACACTGGGCTTCGGCTGCTCCAAGAGAGACAACAGACATGCTCTTGAGGCCCAGGAGAGATTGCAGGGAAATGGAGACGCTTCTTGTGGGCCTTTGGTCCCTGCTTGGCTGAAAGTTCCTGGAGCCAAAGAGGAAGGCTGAGGCCTCGCTCCCTGGACTTGGATGTGGGTGGGCAGGTTAAGCAAGAGCAGGGCCTTACCCGTTGACCTCTGAAATGTTGTGCGTGTGAATCCTGAGCTGGGAACCCCATCAGGGACCGAGAAACCAGGGGAAACTTCAGCATTCTGCCTTCGTGAGTGGAGGAATAACCCCCCACCCCACTCCAGCGTCTGATCCATGCCATTGCAGAGAATGAAGTGTGCATCTAAAGTGCGATCAGATCATAGCCAGCTGCTGGCTCCAGGGCCTTGTGGGGATTTTCTAAAGCTTTCCTGCCACGGGAAAGGCCACTCGGGTTCCTTCTCAGCAGTTTCGCGAATGCCTTTTTTTCAAGGTTTGTAGCAGGGTCAGGCCGAGAGCAGAAGGAATTGGCTTTTTTTAGTGTTAATGTTTCATAATGAAGCAGCTGACTTCACCTCGCCTTGTGCATCCACGTGGGGGAGAGCAGGAGCAAAAGCAGCTCAGGAGAGCAAGGCTTTTTACTGCTGCCATCAAAGCCATAAAACCGGGTGGCCCCAGCAAGCCCAGCGGTCATTAGCCCGGTCTGTTATTCAGTAACTGGAGTGTAGCTGCTCCCAGCAGATGAGGGACCGGTGGCTGCAAGACCTCTGGATTCTGCCTTCTGGGACCAGAGCAGATGGCTCAACCTCTACCTTGTTTGTGAGCAGCAGTCCTGCTTGGTGGCTCGGCAGTGTCCAGCCTCACATCACGCTTCTGTGATTGCACTTTACCCAGGGCACCGCGTGCTCCTCTCCAGTCCCGGACGTGGTGACCCTGTGCTTATGACATGTTGTGGCCACTGTGACCACATGCGTAGCTGGCTGCTCAGAAAACCAGCGCAGCGATTTACACTAGGGCCCACATCGCTGGGTTTGGGGAGCGGAAGATTTACACAAAGCCACCCACCTTCCCAAATGGGAGTGCCGGGAGAGCTGGGCGCCCGGGTCGGCTGGCCTGCTGCTGCCATCTGTCGGCCTGTTCCTGGCTGACACTGACACACTGCTGATGGCAGGGCCTGTGTTGGGAGCAGTGTCGTGGCTGCCTGGTTTACTTGTTCCCCATGCCGTTCGCTGACTTACTTTTACTTCTGGTGTATATTGGTCTGCACAAAGATCAGGCTGACTTCCCTGACTGTGTTTTTTCTGTCCTCTTTCCC